CAAAGCAAGAAGAAGCCAAGTCCAGATCCACATTTTCGTACATATTGTCTTTCGACCCATCCGGGTCAGTCTACTCGGATCATGTGTAAGATACACAACGGATCAACGCAATCCGGTTGAGAAGCCGTGCAAAATCCCATATTTCGACAAAAAATTTGGCTTTTTTCATCAATCCAGAGGGAAACTAGTATCTTAAAATAACATAATAAAACGACTCAGAAGTCAGCCCAGTGCTAGTGACTCCCTGAAGCTGCTAATAGACGGAGATGTTCCTATGCCCTAGACTAAATGCATTGTCTCTACCGAAGAAAAAATCATCTGTTGGGATTGTAGTGGGGAATGGTTTCCTAGGATCGCATCAGAGCACCCAAATTCTGCAAAACGCAAGATTAATGTAGTCAGTGCATCTCAAAGAAACCACAAGCGTTAACATTAATGCACTCAAAAGAGATGTTTGGAATAGCATCCGCCTCACAAAATTACATATAAAGACTCGCCATGGGAGGGAATCCTTTCGATAAAATCGCATTTCAAAAGCCTACACCTACACACGTTTAAATGGAATATTTAAACCACAAAGGGCAAGATGACTGACTTTCTCAAGTGAAAACAGGTCACAATTTGGCTGCAAAACATGCACAAAGGCGGACTGTGGTGTGAGAATTCTGTGAGCTGTTAATCTGTGCTGCTACTTAAACACAGTGCAAATTCTGCACCTGCTGCCAATGCAGAGGAAGGCAGCGTGCGCTTACAGTCATCAGAAAGAAGTTTATCGTTTTCGACAACGGACATGCGCCACAATCACGTCGCTAAATGTGGCTCAATATTCGGCGACCCTCACCATTTACACTTCGGATACGTTCTCCAAAACCAATTTTGGCAAAGTACAGAGCGAAACAACTTATTAGGACAAAGTAGAAGGCAAGCAACGAGTGACTTCTGGAAATATGTTGAATAAATTTGCGAACGGAGAAAAAGTGGAAATCCATGAACTAGGCAGCTACTTGTGAACAAACAGAAAGTACCTAAAAGGGTGCTGTCCCAGGAATGAAGAAGGCTTTATAACTCAGATAAATTGATAGAATTCGTAGAACCCCATGCTGCTAATCCAAGTTGGTGCTTCCAGTATGATATTAACCTAGGTAGTTTACAAAAAGATGAATCTCAAATTTTGTTCTCACTTTAAGTCAGCATGCTTTAGGAGCTAACGAAATGAATGCAAATTTAAGTAAGAACATAAGCATACAAACTATTTCCAATCGTGTACCTATTTGGCCCTCATGCCTCCCCTAAATGGCACTCCCCACCGGGGTAAAAAATCAGCCCTTGGCAAAATTATACATACGACCAAAGGGAGGCAAGCAGTAAGGTGAATGAGCTAGTGCATATTAGTGCGAAGGTTCTGTGCTCAACTAATGAAGTAGATACAATGATGATAGACACACAGAGGCAGCAACAGCGGTACAAAAGGGTCAGAGACACGAGAACGAGGTCATTCACTCGCGCAATTATTGAAAGGATAATGGAAATAGACAAAGCTTACGTTCCTCATCATTTTTAGATAAGACTGTAGTTTAATGAAGCGCCTCCAAATGGACATGTCTCCGAAAAGCATTTGGTTTTTCAAGACCAACAGTTTTCAAAGAGCAGTTGGCGGATAAAGTTGGTGTCAGCCTTAACAAGGATTGAAAACTATTGAAAAGACAAATTAGAGGAAAGGAATTTGGCCTGCAAAAGCATAGCATGACAGCCGTAATGTGAGACCAAAAGCTAATAGGGAATTAAAACATCGGTGAAATTCATGGTTTTCAGTCTTGGGCAAAACAGAAGACATAAACGAACAATGCGAATAGCTGTCATCTCGAACTGAATTCGGAAAAATAAATCATACACATACCTTCCTTCTTGAACATTCTGATAAATCTTCCTTGCGGTTTCTAAGAACGCGGCTTCAACATTTTCACCACTAAAAGTTAGAAAGAAATGATCATGACTCATTGACAATACCCATATAAAGGACTGCCGTGAGCGAACGCAGGAAACCAGTATTGCAATATCATGGCAGCACTGATTTCTGCAACTTTGCACACGACCAGTACGATTGTGAAATGGAAGTGATGAAGGAGAAATAGTAGTCGATGCTAAATTGATTTTAAAGCGACTAATAGGAAGACAACCCCGACGAACTAACATGCTGATTAATCTTATCCACTGTTAGGGACGCAGACGAGGGAAAAGTCAACGACAAAAGCTATACCGATGTGAAGATAAATTAATGTTGGAAAATGACCGTTTGTCATCAACAAACATAACTGACTGAAAAGGTTATGTCAATCATTGTACGACGTTTTCAAGATATTTAGGTTTCAGATTTTAAAAGACCAAAGCACTACCAGCTTTGGAAGCGCAAAGAAAGTTAAACGAAACATGCACGAGTTTAAATACAAGTTCATGACGGAATTTCTACCTATCCAATACATTGGTTAAAGTACGAAAACGATAGTCAATAAGACCGCATACATGGAACTGATGAAGCATTTGTAATATGGACAAAATCAACCAAGTTTCACTGCAGCCCCATGACGCTTATCGTAACATATCTTCTATGCAAACAAACGCAAGAGGTGTACCACTACTTACGACTTGGCACTACACTCCAGAAACATTAGATTATTTTCATCCGCCAATGCCTTGGCATCCTCATATGATACATCACGTTGCTCCTCCAAATCTGACTTATTTCCTATCATCATCATGACGGTATTGGCCGAGGTTAATCTTCGTGCGTCACTAAGCCAATTTTGAATACGTTGGAATGTTGATCGACGAGTGATGTCATAGACCAGAAGGGTCCCCGCAGCTCCACGATAGTACGACCTCGTCACAGACCGAAACCGTTCCTGTCCTGCTGTATCCCATATCTGAAGCTTTACTTTTTGTTCATTCACCTCAATTATACGAGTTCCGAATTCGACACCAATCGTGTGCGGACAATCAGGAAAGACTATGGTAAATATCTGTTTGGTTCAGTGAAGCTTACACTTCTTTTCCGTAAACTGGTGCATTAAACAGCTTTTACCGACGCCCATTTCACCGACAATTATGTATTTAAAAATATACGAGTAGTTATAGCCTCCTCCAGCAGACATACTCCCAGGGTACGCAAAAAGGAAACCGAACAAAGCCAATTTGAATCGTCTGGAGCGGAATTTCATTAAGCGACTTAAACAAAAGCAATATAAACTTTAAAAAGAGCAGAATAATGCTTTTCAGCTTTTGCGAACGCAAATCTATTTATTATTTGTTTTAAATAGCCCCAAAGTGGTCACGAAATTTATTTATTTTT